TTTTCATATTTTTTCATTATAGGCCGTTACAACTTTCTGAATATAGTTCCCTGTATTATACAGTAGGACTTTGTTGTTTGAAAGCTCTCATTTTACACAGAATCATTTGCTGTGTAGAATGTACTCTACATAATGCCGTGCATGTGGGCCACTGGCTGGGATGGTCACGTGGCTTATTTGGGATCATGTTCCCACTGAGACACACGTGGGCCTGAGAGATTTATCTTTGTAGGGCCCTCTGAAATTTAGCATTCAGAATTGTGAAAGGGAGAGAAATGTCTGAGAAGAATAGAATCTCAGGTTGGGATTTGTCTAAGTGAGTCGTTTGTATTTCATAAGTTACATTCCTTAAATGAAAGGTTTTCATGTGTGGTCGTAACTGTGAACACCCTAATTTCAAGACTCTTGTTCATTTCTGTCTGGATTAATGTATTCTAGATTCTCATCTGCTCTTGTTGGGGCGTGATTTACTCTTGTTAATGAAAGGCATCTCAGATGACTTAGAACTTTAAGCCTGTCATTTTCTTTCCTATTTAATTGCACAGAAACAGCCCCCACCCCCCCAATCACATTCTGCCCCTCGCCTGGTACACGAAGACCAATTTTTAAAATTTTTTTGAATTTTTTTAATTTAAGTATCATGAGTTACAATGTGTCAGTCTCTGATGTACAGCATAATGTCCCAGTCATGCATATACATACATTTATTCGTTTTCATATTCTTTTTCGTTGAACGTTATTTTAAGATATTGAATATAGTCCCTGTGCTATACAGAAAAAATCTGTTTTTTTTAATCTATTTTTATATATAGTGGCTAGCATTTGTAAATCTCATTCTCCCAAAGTTATCCCTTCCCACCCCCTTTCCCCCGATAACCATAAGATTGTTTACGATGTCTGAGAGTCTGTTTCTGTTTTGTAGATGAGTTCCTTAGTGTCTTTTTTTAGATTCCACATATTAATGAGATCATATTTTTCTTTCTCTTTCTGACTTATTTCACTTAGAACGATGATCTCCAGGTCCATCCATGCTGTTGCAATGGCATTACTTTATTCTTTTTTATGGCCGAGTAGTATTCCATTGTATAAATATACCACAACTTCTTTATCCAGTCATCTCACAAAGACCATTTTTCAGCAAGTAGAGAAAGGTGGTTTTTTCCTCTCTTTTATCCAATCCCCTAAACTCATACGCCTTCACCACAAAATCATGGCAACACATGTTGTATGAAAGGAGTTTTAATAGTGCTGTCATCTTGACTGTTGCATTATCTCTTGGTGTGCTTTTCTAAGGCATATTTTCATGTTGAAGAAAAGTACCTAGGAGAAGTAGACTTGGCCTGTTCTGATTTACTTGGAAAAAATACTGATGACTTATGTTAAAAGACCTTCTATTTTTTTGTTTGTTTTGCCACTAACCAACTGTCTGACCTTTGATAAGTCATTTAACCCCTCCAAACCACATTTCCCTCCATCTTCTTAAAGGGAATAATACCATATCCTTATGGGAAAACTACTGAGGAATTATTCTTCCTTTTAGCCATAAAATTCATGAGCTAATTTGTTACAATAATGTGGGAGATTTCCAAAGTAGAGAAGTAGATTTTTGTTTGTTTTCCTTTTATAATCGGCCTAGGCACACTTTTGCATAAGAAGTGTCCTACCGTCCAAACAAATGTGCTTGGCTGGGGCCCTTTCAGAGAGAATTTGTAATCCCAGCGTGTGTGCAGTTGCCCCAAGTGCCTCATGTTTTAGTTCTAGTTTTCCTTTTTAAGTCAAGATGGCAATACTTTTGTTCTCTTGGGAGAGGAAGACATGGAACACTTAAATTTCTCTGAGAAAAATCAGCATGCTTCAAGGGCAGTTTGGAGGTGCTGGAACTCCCCCTTGTGGGATTCTGAAATATGTTGTACAGCAAATGAAACAATATTGTTGTTTGTTTTTGTTATGTTCCCAGCTAATAGAAGAATCTTACTTAACATGGTAAATTCTTAATTCACTCATCCAGAAATTTACCGAGAATGACGAAATAGAAAGTTTTAAAAGATATCAGATAACTGTGCAGATAGGATTTTTAGTCGTGTTCAGAAGCATAATTTTGAACTTTTAACATTATTTCAATATTTGGAGAAAAACTTTTTAGGCAAGAGAATTGCCTGTCAGATAAGACCTTATAGTTAAGTTGTTGTAGATCAAGCAAAACCCAACTTAATTATAAATGATACGTTGACAGTGTATTGATATGGGTTTTTCTTTAAACTTCTTCTGTGAAGGTTTCAGATCAGAAGCACATGCCAAGTAGCAGGTTTTGATACACACTTTTATTTTATAGCCATTGATTATTGTTTTTTAGTTTCTTGCCCCTTTCAGGCTGACCCTTTGCAGGTGACCATCGGTGGCTGTGCGCCCACTTCTCAGTCTCCAGCTGTCTGCTGAGTGCCGGTTAAGTGGTAGGCATCGTGGTAAAAGCGTCAGACAGGGTGCTTACAGTCTGCTGCGGCAGGCAGACCTTGAGCAAGTTGTGACGTTGTAATGAGGGGTGTTACAGAAGGTCAGGTGAAAGCTGCTGTGGGTGTAGGTAACGGCACTTAACTGAGCTGTGGTGTCACGGATGACCTCCCCGAGAGGGAAGGCTAAGCTGGGACATGAAGGATGAATCAGGTTTTGTTAGGCAGAGGGGAGGGTAGGTTGGAGATGTGAGTTCTGAGCCAAGGAACAGAGGCTGAAAGTAAAACAGAGCAGAAAGGAGACCAGTGAGGCTGGAGTGTAAACAGGGAGGTGGATCCTGAGGTTTATGGCTACAGTTAAGGATTTGGGACTCTGGCCAAGCTGGGAGTCTTTGAAGGGTTTTAAGCCGGTAGTGACATGACCTGCTTTGCTTATTTGTAAACTCATTCTTGATGCAGAGTGGAGAGTGGAGTGAGGAGGGCAGAGGTGGACACGGGGAGACTGGGAGGAAGTTACTGCACAGCTTGCCTGCATCTTACCACTTCCCTCCCACTCGGACAGGGCTCTGTGAACTTTTTCTGTAAAGGCCCAGAGAGTAGTTATTTTTGGCCTTTTAGGCCATGTGACCTCTGTTGCAAGGACTCAGCTCTGCCGTAGACAGTGTCCAAGAGAAAGAGCATGGCTGTGTTCCAGTGGGACGTTATTTACAAACACAGCCAGCAGGTGGGGTGTGGCTCGCGGGCATGGTTAGCCGACTGACCCCTGATCTTGAGGGTCCTTCTTAGGAATGAAGAGAAGTGAAGGGATTCGAGGCTCTGCTGAGTAGGTGCAGCCAGGATTCCTCGGTGGTGGATGTGTTTGAGGAGGGCGAGTGAGGAGGTGGAGTGAGGTTGGTTTTCAGGTTTCTGGCTTAAACCCGATGTGAAGGATGGTGCAGAGATGGGGCCCACAGCCAGCTGGCTGTCGCGGGGTGTGTGAGGATCCAGACGGGTGCCCCGTCGTTGGTTGGACACGTGGGTGTGCAGAGAGGTCTGAGCTGGTGAGGTGAGTGTGGGCGGTCCCGCGTGTCGCAGATTCCCGCAGGGAGAGTGGTGAGGGCAAAAGACAGGATCCAGACTGACTCCAGCCCCTGGTGGACAGAGCAGGAGGAGCCGGGGAAGGAGAGAAGCCAAGAGAAGGAGAAGCTCCTCATGGCATCATGCTGGGGAGAAGGGTCAGGAAAAAGAGAGGTTTCTACTGGATTT